ATGATCGGGTGTCCAGAGTGTCCCAATTTTGTCATCCTTTAAGGCAATTAAAATTCTCCACTTAGCAGTTCAGCACATGTAATTGGGCAAACATGTGTGATTTCTTCTTCTTCAGCTCCGTCGACCACCATGATGACCATCAAATGCCTTCTCATCGAGAAATCTCTCTTTAATAATTCATCACTTCCATTTCTGATCTTAATCTCAACTATCGGACCGTACCATTGCATCCGGAACGATCAAATTAGCTGAAAACAAGTCTGAAATCATCCAAATCGCACTTTAGACGGCTAAGATTTGATCAAAACAATTCTGGCCTGATAAACGGCCCAGATTCAATCTCAGAACCGATTGCTTGTAGACTTTGCCACACAAAATCCTGTCCCTCGGCTCGGCTCGGCTCCAACTCAGCTTGGAACGGCTTCGAATATGCAAAATCTAACCTTACAGATGTGTCCGGAATGACCAAAAATGTTAGAAACGACACTGAGATCACCCGAATCGGACTTCGGATGGCTCAGATTTAAACAATCAAACTTTGAGATCCCTCTGTATGTATCATCCAATCACAGTCTCTTCAGTATATCATGTAATATGAATTAAATTCTTGTTCCATTGCTGATACAAGTCTTGTTCTCTTATTCCTGTGGGTGTTTTCAGGTTTTTGTGGTATAATATGTTATCAGGTCAAATCCCTAAAGAATTGGGCAACCTCTCTATTCTCGAAATAATGTATAGAAACTCGCTCGCTCGCTCTTCCATTCTGCTTGAATTTCCGTTTAACTTATTTAGTTTGGTTTGGTTCTTTATCTCTTATTTAATTAGGGCCTTGGGCTTCAATGAACTCACTGGTCAGCTTCCACCAGAACTTGGAAGATTGAGATCTCTATATCAGTTGTAAGTTTCAAGAAGAAGAAGAATAATATCATACCACCTTGTAAAACCACGGAAGATAGAAAGAGGAGAAATAAAATAGAAAAAGCGTGGATTACAATCCTTTTGATTTGTTGTTGTAGAGAGCTGGACTCCAACAATTTGAGTGGAGTACTGCCGGAAAATTACGCCAACTTTACTTCGGATCAATTGGATTTGTTGTAAGTGCAACTCATCATATTCTTTCAGCCAACAATCTGTTTAATTATTGTTCCAAGGAAAAGCAACTAACTATGGCTGCAGTAGCGTAGCTGGGAACCGTTTGACCGGTCAAATACCAAGGTTCATTGCGAATTGGACTGCACTCGGTTACCTGTAAGAGATTACTTGTACTTTCTGCCCTGTAAGAAATTACATGTACTTTCTGTAATCATACACGTGAAAGTAAGAATATCATTCAATAATTTGTGCTTTTCTGTACCGAACGCAGGTCCCTCGCCGGGAATGATTTTGAAGGAGAGCTGCCTCTTGAACTTCTTTTTAACATGTCAAATCTCGAATACTTGTAAGTGTTCTATAATTTAAACAGGGTTGAAATAAATGCATGTTTTTATTCTGGATGGTTTTTCTTCCAGGTATGTTAGTGACGTAAGAAGCTCGGTCGGTTTCCCTTTCCCAAAATATGCAAACATGACGGGAATAAGATCCCTGTGAGTTTTTCCTTCCTTTGCTTTTCTTTAAAGCTCACACTCCAAAATCACATAAATAATTATCAAAATATATTAATCCCCAAAACACATACCAAAATATATTCTTGAAATTTCATGTGAAATAGATACGATTTTATCATATGCAAATTATAAAAAAAAAATTAATTCTTTTTGTTTTTTAACATTCAAAAAACATAAAAGAAAATACCCACAAACCACACTCCCAACCACACATTCTAAGTTTCCAAATGTAACAAAAATTAAAATTGCTTACAATAATTTAAATACACATTTCGAAATCTACAAATTACAAAATAGACTCAGGAACAGTGCTGGAAGCGGCTGAGAAAAACCAGGAAACAGGGGGGTGATCTGGAATGGCATCTGTGGTCGATTTTCAGTGAGGCAGAGGTGGCTGAGTGAAGGAGAGAGAGCTGGGTCTCGGTTTAGCAGACATGGGGGCGGCTGAAAGAGCAGAGGGGTGGTTTTATCGGTGGTTCTGGAGGACCTGGTTCGGGTCTGTGGAGGATGTTCTGTGAAGGCCGGTGATGGGGCAGTTGGGTCAGCTGTCAGAGATCGGGAAAGGAAGATGAGGAAGTGCAGTGAGCGGCCTTTGTGGTTGTGGGGGGGGGGTGGGAGGTTGATGG